ATTAACACATCTGGGCCGCCACATAAAGGGTTTGTAACCGATATTGGATATATGTTAGGCCCAACATCCAACTTGTTTATTTCTCTAACAGCCTTAGTAAAAACTAAATCCTCCCTCTGACTTTCAAGAGTTTCGGGCCCCACATCCTTATTCTTAGTCATAGCCATATTAATTAGATTTGACATGTGACCCAAATCCTCCTATTGAGCCTTGTCCTCATACCTACTTCCAATATTGCACTTTTTGTTACCAAAAACCACACCTTTTTCTGACATCTTTCTCGTATTTCCATCTACATTATGCCCCTCTGAACTACTGTGATCATTGCCTAGGACTTTGGAAATCACATCTTCTTTGCCGCTATTACATGTTCGTTCTGGCGATGTTCCACCCCATCATCCACTTCCTCATCCGTTGATTCTCCCCACTCGTCATCATCACCATCACTCCCCAAATTAGAATCGTCAGATGAATTCAACGTCTTGTTCCATTTTAAAGGATCGATCCTCATCAGACCATGGGAATCCTCAATCAATTTGATTCTATAGATCCTTTCGTTTACCTTAATATTGAATACCTCATTTAGATTAATGGCGAATTTTGTTTTTACTAGAAACCTAACAACATCCATCTTTTTCAAACTTTCGGTCTCATCATCAGATCGAATGAATACTCCTACCGTTCCAGCTATAAACTTGAAAAGTCAATAGCACCACGCGTGACAAGGAAGGCCATAACAACGCATCCAGGTGAGTCTCTCGTTATCCACGTCTTCCGGCGACCATGGATGAACCTCAGAGGACCAGTGGGGTACCCAGATCTCCTCTTTATTGATCAACTTTGTAATCCCCCTTTCAACCTCTTCTTTCAATAGACAGAGGTTTGCACCCATAGGAGTTGCCTTAACACGAAAAAAATACTTCAGCCAGTAACGCATCTTGAATGTTATTAGTCGAACTTGATTCCACCACAACGCCAACATACACTTTTTTAAATATTTGAAGTTCTTCTTTGTCGACCTATCATAAACCAAAGGTGCGGAAATGAAGGTTTTGTGCCTAGAAAATTCTTATTGAAGTCTTCCTGTTTATCTCTTGTGTCTCTCCCTGCAGGGTTATTCCTTAGACCCCCTTTATATCCACCCACCACTTGAGCAAAAGAAATACTAGGTTTGATGTTACGTCCCAGATTCCCACTGATAAAGTTAGATCGCCCCGTAGGCAAGTCCACTCTCTTTGAACATTTCCACCGTTACGAGGACACAATCCTACTCTTTGAAATCTGGGCGCATTGGCATAGATCTTCTTTTCATTGATCATAATGTTGTCAAGTTTGACTGCCACGAGTCTATCATCTTCGACATTCTTGAAGCGTACAAATCCATATCTTTTCCCTCGCTCATCTCTCTTTTGAAGGATTACCACCTCTAACACAAGACCATATTCTTTGAATACATCAAACATCTCTTTAGCCTCATGACCGCCTGGAAATTCGGTGAGGAAAAAGGAGGTTATTTTATCTCTGACCTCCATAGTTGATCTGTCACCTTTGTCTGTCCAAATTGATCTTCTTGTTGATTTGTCACGGTATGAATTATTCTCACTTGATATGCCATAAAAGTAGTATTCTCACATAAATGGTTGAGATATGTGTTTCACTTTCATCATTTATGTCATGTTCAATTTAATGATGAAAGAGATACATATGTTCATTAAATAAATATTTTAATCTCAACCATTTATTTTTAAATCTAACGGATAATACTTATTCATATCATTCTCACATAAAAGTAGTATTCTCGCTAGATATGCCTCTAAAAAGAATAACAATGATATGCATAAAAGTAGTATTCTCACATAAAAGTGTATTCTTACTAAATATATCTTTTATTAACATTGTTATTCTTAATGTTGTTGTTAAGACTCATGAATTTTGCTTATATTTGTCGGATTTTTTAAAACTAAAAGATAAAATATTCACTTTTTATAGTGTTTTTCGTTACATCGTCTATAAAACCGATGTAAGACTTTCTGTTTAACTTAAATAAAATATATTATTTATTATACCTAAATAAAAACGTTTGACACGATCCTTAACTAATTTAAAAAGTTAAAAGATTAAAAAAAAAACACGTTTGAGAACAGTTCACAAAAACAATAACAATTTAACAATTAAATTGTGAGTCACGTGACAATGAACTTGTAACATCAACAATATTAACACATTTAATTTAATTTACATAGACTAGACTTAATTGAAAAAGAATTAACACAAACGAAAACTACAAAATCAAAATATTAATAGAATTAGAGATTCATTTTATTGATATAGTAACCATTTTAATATTTTTATTTTAAAAATGAATAATAGAGAGAATGTTATAAAAGTAAATAAGAAGAAAAGGGTATTATAGTAATAAGCGAGAAAAACGAGGTACAAGGATAAGTAGTAGTATGCCAGACTGTCCCTCCCGCTAAGACAGCGCAAAATGGTCGATGACATTATTATTCCTCTCTACCAAAGTTTTTCATCTGTGTGCCAGAAGTGCTGCCAATGTACAAACGAATGAAGACAAGAAAAGGGCATTCGCTTTTTTCATTTACCCTATCATGTCTATCCGTAATCACGCCACCAATATCACGCTACCATTATTTATTTTTCAATTCCTTTTTTTAAATTAGTTCTTACATTACAGTTTCCGTAGATGTTAGTTTGTCTTTATCGCTGTTTTGAAAATCTAACAAAAACAGATTATCCAACCAATTCAAATTTAAATAGAAAAACAAAATTCAGTCTAAGTTTCATATTCACAAATGGGAACGGCAACGAAATGAGTCATTTACTTTTTTAAATTTGAATTGTCAAATAATCCCTCTTTTCCGCCATGAATTTGAGTATTTCCGTTCTATTATTGTTTATTTATTTAATCAAATTATTTTTTTAATAAAAATATTTATTTTTTAAAATTAAGTTATATTATAAATAATAAAAAAAAAATTTAAAAATTTAATATTTTAAATAATAAATACAAATTAAAATATTAAAATGTTTGATCATATGTTTAATATTTTAAGTTAACAAAATTCAAAATTAAATAATAAATTACATATTAGAGTGAATTTGGGAGAAGTTCGAGTGAAGACTAATATTATCATTATCCAAATTATCTTTAAGATTTTTTATTTTATGAGAATAAGTCTTTTTACAGAGTTTAGAAAGTGATAAAGAAGAAGTAGTAGTAATAAGTTGAGTGTTTGGTTCACGTGTTTCCATGTTTAAGTGATTTCTCTCTTACTCACTCTCTTTATTATATTCATACCATACGCACCCCTTCTTTCTGTACAGGCTCTGACCACACTGTTCGGGAGCATTACATGCCATGAAACCCAGCCTTAACTCTATCGGCATCAAAAAGCCAACCATAGACATAACACATACTAACAATTAAAACTGAAATTTCATATCAGGAAGGACAGTAGTATGGATCAATGGTAAGATATTTTCTGATACACAAGATCCTCATTTAGAGGCAGGTGTAAAGCATATTTGCATCTATTTGGGGGATTATGATATGAATATAATAACTAAAGCTTTGAGGGAGAAAGAAAAGATTTTTAGAACATGTTTGTTTTTAAGCACACAAGAGAGTTTATTTGTGAATGTTTGATGAAAATATGTTACAAAGGCTCTCCTTTTATAGCCAAGGAGGTACATATAGGACAAAAGCAACACTTTTTACAAGCATGACATTTTTAATACTATATGAATGTCTTTTTCAAAAGTCCGACACACTTATCACTTATGAATTACATTATTGCACAAAAAGACGAAATTTACTATTCATAAACATGCTTGTGATCTTTGAAGGACACTTGTCCATTTAGTCTTTGCAAATGGGTTCATGAGAGGGGGACATATTCTGATCAGATAATTTTCTATCAGAAAAGCAATCTCCATAGCGAGATGACTCACGCTGTCAGATGTCATCCATCATGTAGGTGTGATCCGCTAACCTCATATTAGCTTCTTCCACGTGTCCTTCAGAGAATTCAGCTTCCATTGGAGATTTCGGTTTCTGTTGTGTGGCTTGAGTCGAGCTTTCTCCAACTTCTGGTCTTCTAAACTTTTCATGATGTATGCAAGTTGAACTATCATCGAGTTTCTTTGGATCATAGAGATTGATGTAGTTAACATACCCAGTAATTCCTTTGTGATTTTTAGACTGGGAGGATATTCATCGATGGTTTCCCATAGGTGAACATAACTCTTATAATTGAGTAGCTTAGTTGCAGGATTTGTCAAATAGGGCATGTGTAGAAAGAAAACAGACTTGAGTTTGCTAATATCTTCTGAAGATAATCTTCGTTCTTTGACCTCGTCTTTGACTAGTTTTAATTGATCTATCCACCATTGTAATGGAAAATACCATTCAAGAGTGGTCTAAATCATAGACTTGTGGTTCTCAGGATCCATTATATGTTGATACATGGCCTCAGTGGGAATAAAAACAGACATATAATACAAACAAGTGGCACACCAAATATACCACAAATGTTTTTTTGTGAATTTAGCATTTAGGTTTATTAAAATTGGTAGGAAAAAGGTGTATATGGGAAATAAGGACTATGATCTGGCAGGTTATTCCTTATTATTTTTGTCATGTAATAGAAGAGATTGTTCCTATCATACTTCTTGAGTTGGAACGGTGAAAAGGATACCGTTATTCCTGGAGGAAGATTCTTGGTTTTGGATGCATGGGTTGGTAGTGGTTTGACCATAAGAATTAGAGGGAAAGTATGATTGACTGTGATAATCTGGATGGGTTTCATGGGTCAGGATAGTAGATCAGGGATTACATTTTGGGTTCCTTTGATATGTTTTACAGAGAAATCATATCTGAAAAACTACTCTTTGAGCCTATGAGTTTGAGGATCAGGAGGCATCTTATTTTTGAATTCAAGGATCTTAGGGAAAGAGGAGTTGTCCATCTGAACTTCAAATTAGTATCCTCTTAGGTGGAAGTCAAACTTTTGAATTCCCATCTTTACGGCAAGGGCCTCTTTGTAGGTGGTGTGGTAGTGTTTTCCAGCTTCTTTAAATTGGCCATTAGTATGACCATAATAATATCTTTTTCCTTCAAGTTCTTCTATCAGGACTGCTCCCCAATAGTGATCACTGGCATTTGTATGTAGAACTCTTTTGCCATTCCCAAGGATTTTTAGGGCATAAGGAGCTTGTGCAATTTTCTTCAAAGCTTTCACTGCTTCAGTTTGCTGTATTCCCCATGGTGGAGGTTTTTTCTTAAGCATTTGGGATAGAGGACTCGTGTATCTCGCCAGTTTCGGCAGGAAATCTCGAATATAATTAATTATACCAAGAAATTGTTGGATTTTCTTAACTGTAAGATTTTCATCAAGAAAGTTTAACAATTCTTGGGCAATATGAGGCTGAGGTTAATATTTCCCTTGGGAGAAATGCATCCATAAGAAATCAATTTTTGTTTGTCCCAATTGACTTTTCTTTTCAGAGAGCATCATTCCATGCTGTTGGGCTATTTGAAGAAATTGACCCAATAATTGTTTATGGATTTTTTCATCTTTTGAGAACAATAGCACATCATCAATATAGATGAGGATACTGTTGAGGATGAGCTCAAAAATTCTAGTCATGGCTTTTTGAAAGAGTGATGGGGCTACCTTAAGCCCAAATGGTAACACAGTCCATTGATATTGGGCGTTAGGAATGCATAACACCGTTTTATAGCGATCCTCAAGGTCAATACCCAATTGTCAGAATCCTGACTTAAGGTCGAACTTAAAATAAATCTGGGCATCTTTGATGAAAACATTTAAAGACGAGGCTTTTGGAATGAGAAATTTATCATCTTTGAGAAAATGATTTAGAGGTTTGTAATCAATTACTAGCCTTTTTTTCTCCTCAACTTTTCAAATCTTTTTTCCACATGGAGTGTTTGGCAAGCCCATTCTGATTGGTGGGTTCTATCAGACCTTGTTTTAGCAGTTGGTTGCATTCTTCCCTAGCTAATGTGTAATTTGATGGACTCATCCCTGGATGAGTGACCTTGGTTGGATTAACATTTTCATTGAGCTTGAAGGGAAGTTGAACGAAAAAGTCTTTATTCTTCCATAGAGGTTTTGGGTGGCGAAATTTTTCATGGTTGTTTGCACATAGTCTAAGAAGGTTGGACTTGATCTCTTCATAGCCTGAAAGAATCTTAGAAAGTGAATATAATTTCAATATCCCAGTATAAGATTTGAATTCTCTTTTGAATTTGATTCCTGTGGGGAGAATTTAGAGTTTAATTGTTGCTGAATAAACATCTATTCCTACTACAATATCTTTGTTTTGGAGATTATTGTCAATGACCTTGGTCCAGACTATGCAGTATGGGAAGAATTTAATTCCTATTTTCTCCTTGGTCATTAAATTTGTCTTGAAAACTTTTCCATCCGCTGCTACAAAGTATGCGGCATGTGTCACCCATGATTATGTTGGGAGAATTTTGTGATTCATCATTGTAATCTGGCCCCCAGTGTCCATATAAGCTATAACTTTCTTCGGACAAGAAAACTTTGATGCGAGGACATGAACTTCAACACAAGGAAGTGGTGTAGTAAGAAGAGAACTGCCTATCTCTTTAAAAGAGTAAACCGGGAGATATCTGTCATCTTCTGACTCTAAAAGTGATGCTTCATCAAACGAAGAGTCTTGAAGGGCAAAAATTGTTTCTTCATCAGCAAAGCTTTATTCAGAATATGAAGATTCTAAATCTCCTTCTAGAGGCTGAAGATAGTTAATCGGTTTTGCGGCTTTATGGGTGTTATGAGGACATTCTTTTGAGAAATGCCTTTTTTTCCACAAATAAAGCATCTCTGATTTTTTCCCTTTCCTATGAAAGGCTTTTTTTCAAAAGAACTTCATATTCTTTCTTTTCTTTCCCTCGAAGGTCCTATGAGATTTGGTGTATTTTTTATATTTCTTTTTTGTTGGACAGCTGCATTTTTTGTCTTTACACTTAATCTCTAGGTAAGGCTTCTTACATGCTTGGGTGACCTTTGACTTTTGTTCTATAACTTCAGAAAATTGATGATGAAAACTGCAAGGCTTTTCAAGTGCTTCTAATGTCACCTGGTGAATTTGGCTAAAACTCATGGTTTTAATATCCTTTTGAGTTGTGGCTAACATTCTATGAGTTTCTGCCTGATGTTCTTGTGGTAGAAAGGATACATAGGTATTCTTGAGACTAGGGTCATTGTACCCATTAAGGACATAATACCTCTATGTCATCCTATGATAGTGTTTATCGAGGTCCTTTGTTTTGAGAGAACAACACTTCTTCTCAAAGAATTATTGTCTGTTTTTCCTATCAAATATATCCATATCACCGATAAATTCTTGGTGAAGAACCCCAAGAACAGCTGTAGTTTTTAGACGATGTAACTCATCTTGTTTGAAAGCTCCAAAATTGTGATACCATTCTTTCATCATACCCTTCATTCTACAGTAAAATTATTCAATGATCTTATAGCTATTTGCACTTGTTTTCATCATTTGGGTGTCAAGCCAGACTCCAAATTCAAGTAGTCTCTTTCTCCAATGGCTAGGTGGTATATCATCAAAAGCGAACCAAGGACCTCCATTTGGTTTAGTCCTTTCAAGAACAAGAGTTTCTTCAGGGGATTCTTCTTCAAAAAAGGATTCTTCCTCTTTTACATTTGCCATGAAGAGTCTTGGGAAATAGTTGTCTTCAGATTCTGATTTAGTTGAAAAAGATCTCGATGTTTGATTAGAAGATGATTCTGGATTAGATTTGTTGTCACCATCTGAGAAGGACTCATTTCCCTTTTGTTTTGATGATTCAGAGTGATATTTTCGAGGAGATTCATAATTTGTATTGATTTCCATGGATTGGAAACCTTTATTAGGAATTTCTTCTTCCTTTTGGATTTTTGGAGGAGGTGTTTCAGGGATATCTTGAGAGTCTGAGGATGAAGCGCTCAAGCAGGCAGCTTTCCCCTTTGTCTTAGAGGCTGAGGTAGTGGTAGTTCTTGCTGATTTTGGTCTATAAGTTGTAGGTATGTATTTGACCTGGTCTGATGGTGATGAAACATAGGTAGGGTAGAAAGGATAAGGCTTTTCTAGTCGTTTGGAAGATCTAGGAAAAGCAGGAGGGTCAAAGAAGGAGTTTTCAACAGGCTTGGGCTTTCTTTCATGAGAGGCTCTTAAGAAACCATTTATCTCCTTTACTTGGCTTTGTAGACTTCTGATTTCTCTTTCCTTTTGGTCAAATGTTTTACCAAAAGTTCTCTCTTCTAACATCTGTCGCAAATTCCAATCTAGCTAGGATACTTAGGCTTTCAAGCTTCTGTAATGTTTCTGCATTTTTTGGGATAAAATCTTGAGATCTTCATCTGTTTCATCTATTTTTTCAGCAATCTTACCTACCTTTTTGTCAAGGTTTTAGAGAATTTCATTTTGAGAAACCATGTTTTCAAATTGCCAATTCAGAACTTCTTCAGCCTGAGTTAAAGGTTTAAGCTTCCCATTTGGATGAACTTCAGTCAGATGAATGAAGGGTTTAGATGTTCTACCTGTGATTTGATCCATCTTTCTTTCTAAAGAAGGAAATTGTCGGTCATACTCCGGAATTGTGGTTGAATACATAAAGCAAGGATTGGTTGAGCAGTAGCTGGAGGATGTAGCGATTTACAATGGTTTGTTGGTGACCATGTAATAAGAGTCAGATCATCAGGTGGTAACAATCCTTCTTTCCTGAGGATTTTAAGTCCTTCCTCGTAGATACAAAGAGGTTTCTTTTTTCCATGGATTCCTACCCATGGACCATTGTCTGAATCAGATCTCCTTTGAGGAGGTGGCGAGAGTTTACACCTTCCCTTTTTCTTTGTTTTGGGAAGAATAATATCTCAGTCAATATCATCATCATGCATCCAACAGTCACAATCCAGGTCACATCTTGTTGGATCAATATCCCAAATGAAGTGGCCATCTATTTTATCGGTGTAGATGGATTTTCCCTCTGTTGTAACAGCATAGACTGGACACCAGTCTTCTTTGAGAACTGGTTGGATCATCATTGTTTGAAAGATCAGAGATATTGAGCTCGACCCTTCGTCTGGCTTCTTGAAGATCATCTTGACTGTCTTGTCAAAGGATCTCCTAAAAGTAGTTTCTTGAGATTGGATAGGTCTTTTGTCAACATGGAGTCTCTCGTAGTTGGTTATCCATTAAAGGAAAATTAGCTGAGTTAATTCTTCCTTTGTGATCTTTCTTAGAATCTGAACTATGGTGGATGTCTTCTTCTCTATTGGTGACAACCAATAGTAAATCAGAAGAACATCCTGAGAGAGGAAGATCTATCAAGTGATTTTGTAAGCGGTATATTATCTGGTGATGAAGGGTAGCTGACATAACTTCTGGCACTTGGTCAGATCCGGTGATCTGGATCTGTACTTTCAGTCTTGTGGATAAAGTATTATCATTAAGACTCACATTATAGTTTGGGAAGATGGTGAGGACAACACTTCCTGCATAAAATGTAGTTAGAACAGTTCCTATCATAACATTTTCATAGTGGAGGTAGCTGGAGCCCAGTAGAGCTATTTTGCAAAAGACGGGTTGGTTATTCCTTCCATGAAGAGAAGGATGGGTCTGACAGCCCCAAAGTGTAAGGCTATATATCCTTCAATTTTCCAGTGGTTTATGAGATATCAGGGAATCTTAAGATCTATGTACTGCTCCTGGTTTGTAGCTCTTAGGCTGCATTGGTCTAGTATAGATTATTGGACGTATTCTTTTATATGAGGGTGATTTGTAGAGATAAGATTTCAGATGGATCTGGTAACACTTCTTTGTCTTTTGAAGATGTTATACGGACTTAACAGAGGAGGTATTGTTTCAAAAATTTGAGCATCTTTAGGAACATGAGAGTACTCAATAAGGTTTTCTGTTTTATGAGAATTAGTCCTTTTACAGAGTTTAGAAAGTGATAAAGAAGAAGTAGTAGTAATAGGTTGAGTGTTTGGTTCAGGTGTTTCTATGTTTAAGTGATCTCTCCCTTACTCACTCTCTTTATTATATTCATACCATATGCACCCCTTCTTTCTGTACAGACTCTGATACCACACTGTCCGGGAGCCTTACATGCCATGAAACACTGCCTTAACTGTATCTTTTTTTATTTCTTAACTATACCCTTAGATTCAAATTGATCCCTTAATTATTTTTCGTATCAAATTGATCCCTCAATTCTTTAAAACGTGTCAGGTTAGTCTTTTTCATCTAATTAACGATGGAAAATTTTAAAAATCGTTCGTTAAATTCATCGATAATTAAATAACAAAGAGTCATATAATATATTTTAAAGAGTTAAGGACCAATCTGACACAAAAATAGTTAAGGAATCAATTTAAATCTAAAAATAAAGTTAAAAGAAGAAATTTTTTTTTGCCATATCGGTAAAAATGAGTTATTATCATACCTATTCACAAAGTATGTTAATAGAGCATTAATTTAATTTATTAAAACTAACTTGATACCCGTGCCTTCGCAGGAGTATCCGTCGATGGCGCACATTTGTCTGCATATAAAAATTTGTCAAAAAGTAGAATTAATAAAAATTAGTAAATATAACAAAAATATTTTATATTTAAAAAAATAGAATCAATACCCGCAGACACTGTTTGATATTTTTTATAAAAATAATTTTGAAATAAATTAGTTTAAAAAAAATATCAAATAAATAAATATTAGTAACATTAATAAATACATTTTGTCTATGTTTGAATTCATACATTACTTTAAATATATTTACTTTTATTTTCTTTAATTGTATCATAATTGTAATTTTGTTCTTACATTATTTCTAAAAATATTTTGATGAACAAAAAACTTGTTCCCAAGAATAAAAGTATTTGGATCATCTATACACTCTTTTTTTCATATATAAAAATAAAATTCAATCTAAAGTATTTAAATTTTTCAATGATTTCATTTTTTCTGTTCAGTAATTCAGTTTTTCCGTAGATATATATTTTCTCTTGCAATTTCCTAATTTATGTAAGTATTATTAAAAATATCTCTTTCGAGGGATACCCATAGAGATCATAATTAAGCAACAAAATTTTAAATAATTAACGATTTTTGAAAATAAATTTGAAATTTCAAGTATTGATATTTGACTAATTTCTAGAACAAAATATTAAATTTATCAATATTTTTCATAAATATTTAATATATAATAAAATGTATTTAATGATATTTATAAAATAGATATGAACGATACATTTAAAAAAAAATTTAAAAATTTAGTTTAATCCATTTTAAAAATTAATCAAACTCAAAAATCAATTATACACCTTTAAAACTATTTTGATTACTTTAAAATTAAAATTAAAATCAAATATATATTTATAACAATCACATATTTTTTATACAATGTGTCACATACCAAGTTCAAATTGAATTTGATAGTCTAGCGGGATAACCGTGCATTTGCACGAGTACTCGTCGGTGACGCGCATTTGTCTACATTTAAAATTTAGAAAAAATAAGATTAATAAAAATTAGTAAATATAAAACATATAATTTATATTTAAAAAAAGATAAGATAGAATCAATACCCGTAGACAACTGTTGATATTTTTTATAAAAATATTTATACAATTATTTATAAAAATATTTTGATGAATAAAAAACTTGTTCCCAATTATAAAAGTATTTGAATCATCCATACACTTTTTCATGTATAAAAATAAAGTTCAATCTAAAATATTTAAATATTTCTCGTGTATAAAAATATTTGTTTTATGCATTTCTATATCATAAATCACTTTATTTTTTCCGTTTCAATAATTCAGTTATGTCCGTAGATATATATTTTGTCTTACAATCTCCTAATTTTATAAGTATTATTAAAATTATATCTTTTGTGAGATATCTATGAAGATCATAATTAAGTAATAAAATTTTAAATAATTAACAATTTTTGAAAATAAAATTAAAATTTCAAATATTGATATTTGACTTATTTCTATAATAAAATGTTAAATTTATCAATAATTTTCATAAATATTTAATACATAATAAAATATATTTAATGATATTTATACAATAGATATGAACTATATATTTTTAAAAAGAAATTAAAAAAAAACTCATCTTTCTATTTAAAAATCTTTGATTGACACGTGCAAGCTATGAAATTGACATGTTAATCATAAAATCAATAATTTTTTAAAACTCTTTTACCAGAGTATAGTACTTTCTCATACTGTTATTATTGTTACAAATCCTACATTAGTTAAAGTATATACATTAAAAAAAGTGGTTTATTAATATTAAAGTATGATGAAAAAGTGATGTATCATATTTTAATAATAATATATGAGGATAAATTTGTGTATCCAATTCAATTAAGAAATAAGGTGCAATCATGCTTTTAATTCTAGAAAGATGTGTGAGAGAGATAGATGATGATGGAAACATGTTTTTGTTAATTGTCATAGTCTCTACTAGGGCTGGACACTGGACGTTCGGATCGGTTTTCGGTTTAAAAGTGTCCATCCATAACTAACTGTCGGATGTATTATATTCATCCATTTCCGCCCAACTGTGTCACCGGATAGTTCGGATTACGGATCCTTCGAATGACAGGTTATTCGGTTGGGTTCTAACGATTTACAACATTGACATAATTTTTCTTCAATCATAAGAATAAATGTTAATCTAAAAAGAAAGAAAGATGAGTGAGAGTTGAGTAGAGTGAGACTTGGAAAGGAACACAAATTTTATAGTTCAGTCATCATGAATCATATTGTATATTTCACATCCAAATCTTCTTATAACCTTCTATTCTTCTCTTATTTCTCTTATTCTCGTGAATCAAAAAATGAAGGGGAGAAATAAAGAAACAATTGAGAAAGAGGTGAAACAAAGAAAGGAACGGAGAAAGAGTTGAAACATAAAAAAAGTGTGATAAATTGTTGCAAACAAATATATATGCATTAAAAAAATGCTGGTAGTGTTTATGTGTGGTTGTAAAACACTTCCACGTGTGTGAAAAGATATAAGCATGACATGTCTAGAGATAGCTACAAGATATAGCTGCAGATGTGTTATTATAACTTCTGAAATTGCAGACAATTACTGTACAAGTAAGTAACAACACTCTGCTACATAATATTTTTTATATTAATAAGTAACAACACTCTGGTACATACTATTTTTTATATTAATAGTATATTATAGGTCTTTTCGGACGGTTGTGGGTATCGATGGATTCAAATTTTCAATCCGCAATTGTCCGTGTTAAACCATACAAAACTGATTTTATATATTTATTTACCCGGTCACCCAATCCAACCGACCCGTTAACACTAATTTTATACGGTTTATTCGGTTTTTGGTCAGATTCGGTTTTGTTGTCCACCCCTAGTCTTTACATTATTAAATATATCACTTTCCAATACAATTTATAGACTATAAATTGTAGGCTCAATAGTATTAATTATCACTATTAATAATAAATAAAGAGGAAGAAATCATGACATGTGATGTGAAGTTTAAGCACAAATAATAATAATAATAATAATAATAATAATAATAATAATAATAATAATAATAATAATTCTCCCACTATTAAATAT